TAATCATCAAAAACTAAATTAAATCAACTAAAATAAAAATACTCATAAAGGTTTCTGCCACCACTTCTCTTCATCTCTTCCTCCTAACTTTACCGCACTTCTCTTCCTCTCAATTTCTTAGTTAATTTCTTGAAAGAAAAATAATTATTACTTTTTAAGAAGAAAATAAAGACAATCAGATCCTATCTTGTAATCTAGCATTCTATACCCCCGTCTACTTAAAGTTCAAGTTGAAAATATTATTGAAAAATAAATGATAAGTTTATTTTATTGAGCAATCAATTATTGATGTTATGTTAGTAAATTTACTATAATTCACTAAATATCCAAAAATCAAAATTTCGAAATGAAATGTACGTTTTATCTTATTTTATTAGATTTTTATTTGTAATATGTGATTATGATATTTATAATATGAATAATGTATTTTTTTGTTTATAGAATTGGATTGTTTGCTTTTTTTATAAATTAAATTTTTAAAATCCACGCTTTACACGAATATATGAACTCACTTAGATCCAACTACATCAATTAGTATAAAAGGAAGATTTATTACAAATTTTGTTTCCTTTCCAATCGAACAAAAAATTCAAATTCATTTTAATTTAATCGATTTCTTTGATTTGAAATAATTTTACTAACCCTCTAATGTTTATAGCTCTTCTTTATTTATATATGGTAAATAAATTAAGGGTTATTATCTTTGGCTCTTGGTATTGGAGTTTTTTTTTATTTTTGTAAATAAAAAATGATATACTAAATATTTGTGATACCTGTGTCCACAATGTTTGTTAACTTTATAATATAATCTAGTAGTGCTCATTTGTTTACTATAAAATTAAATTTTTAGAGATCAAATAACAATAAAACTAATTTATATATTTTAAACAAGAAGATTTTAGAGAATCTTTTGTACACCCTAAACTTAAATTTATGGTATTCAAAAAAAAAATATTATTTTGGTTTTCTTCATTATTCTTATATGGCAGCCGATAGCCAAATAAATTGAAACAATTTTTTGCTTAAATTACTCTGATTTTACAGCTCATCATATTTTTATATTTGATCATTTAAATTATAAGTTTTTTAAAGAAAAAAATCCTACAAATAAAAAGCAAAGAAAAAAAAATAAAGTAAAAGAACTACATTCTTTTCCTAATCTCATAATTACAACTCTTAATATTATATTCGAACCCTAAGACTAGCATTAATGTATTTTGTAATATAATACTTGAAATAACCCTTCAATCATTCAAATAAATTGAAATAAATTTTTATTTCGCAATCTTTATGACAAAATAAAGGTCATTAAAAAAAACTTATTCAAAAATATTTTAATAGTTCAATGATTTTTAATATATTATACCTTTTTTTGTTGCACTTGGTATGTTTCATAAACTTCAAAACTATTTATATTAAAAAAATCATATATTTATATTAAAAAAACTATATATTTCTTAAAAAAAAGAGAAAAAAAAACCCTATTTAAAATTAAATTACAAGAAACCCCTCAGGGTATACCCAAGATGTTTTTTCTCCGTGTTCAAGTTTTTTTAAAAATTACACAAAACGTGCTATTCGCAAACAAGATTCAAGGAAAATTCTAAGGGATAGATACAAGACATCCTAGTCAATTATTTCTCCCTCTTCTTCCTCATTCCTCACAATTCCTTCTCCAATATCAGCTTTCTCCTCCCTTGCATGCAAGGCTACTTGGTCAACTTGAGTGTCATGCTTATTTTCATCATCTTCATCGCCATTAACATCATTATTGTCCTTGCTTTCCCTATCATCATCATCTTTACCGTCATCACCATCTTTGTTCTCACCATTAACAATACTTTGGATCATTGTCTTGTC